ATTTGAACCGCTGACCTGCTGATCTAGCAGTAGCCTGCAGTGCTGCATTTAACCACTGCGCCACCTTCCTCATTTTAAGGAACAACAGGCTGTATCTTAACAGAACACACACACACACACACACACACACTCACTTTTATTTATATATATAGATAAAACATTCTACCTGCTCTGGAGATCATCGCCCTCAGTGTCACAGGTATATCTAGGGAAAGAAAATTTAAATTAATCAGAACGAAAAATCAGTACAACTGAAATCATGATTTGAAGATGAAGGGACTTGCAGAGGTGACTAAACTCCTTAGAGGAGAGACAATACGGGTAGCTTTCAACTTACAAGTTCATTTAGTGACTGTTCAAAGTTACTACAGCACTGGAAAAAGTGACTTACGACCGTTTTCACTCTTACGACCGGTCACATGATCAAAATTCGGACGTTTGGCAACTGACTCACACTTACAACAGGGTTGTAAGTGTCCCAGGGATCGTGAATCTGGAAGCCAGATTCACTTAACAACCCTGTTACTAAGATATCAATGGCAGCGATACACTTAACAACAGTGGCAAGAAACATCATAAAATGGGGCAATATCCACTCAGCAAATGTCTCACTTAGCAACAGAAATTTATGGCTCACCCGTGGCCATACCTGTTAACGCAAAGCACATTTTATTCTGAGATGGCATTATTTCATGAACTCAAAAATAAAATGGACAATGGTGCTGTGAAAAAGATTCTCTTGTTCTTGTATATAAGAGAAAAATAATAAAATCAGCCCTGGGGGCCAACTGATATCCCCTTGTTTCAAGGAAAATTAATATCCATCCCATTAAAAACAGCTGAGCTTCCATGTGGCTCAGTGGCTAAGACACTGAGCTTGTCAATCAGAAAGGTCGGCAGTTTGGCGGTTCGAATCCCTAGTACAGGTCTCCTGTGTGAGCAGTGGGTTGGACTAGAGGACCTCCAAGGTCCCTTCCAACCAACTCTGTCACTGTTTACTGTTTAAATCCAACATATGGGGAGTGGAATTAACAGGCACATTTCAATGCAAAGCAAAATCGATCCAGGAGGTCATTTAACAACAACAAAAAAGGAAATATTTACACTTACTGAGTATCGGAGTCACTCCCTTTTCGCTTTCTGGGAAATTCTGCCGTAAATGAATTTATGGAAGGGGCCACGGGAGACATAATGTTTGAGCCTGTCAAAACAACAGCCTGATTTCCATCTCCGGGAAGATTATCTGAAAAGAGACAAACAGCATCCAAGCTGAAAGAGGAATTGGAATTAATTGGCTGAACTACAAGGGGAAAGAATACAGACTCCTAAATTATCACTACGTTGTGATTACGGCGTTTATTGTGGTGTGTTTCAGAGTCAAGACTGGATTTGGCATTTGCTGTATCCTATCAAGTGCCAAGGATCTGGGACAGCTGTTGACATTCTTCTCCTCCCCAAGGACCTGGGATAGACAGATGTGGATGTTGGATAGCGTGAGAGGTATCTTCACCGCAGGATGTAAGTCATTCCAAGTTAAGCTGCCTTTGGCAATTGACTGATGGTGATTTTGTCAATGCCAAGGATCTTCAAGGGGTGCTCCAGATGTTTTGGGCTTGCCCCCAAGGAGCCTATGATGATTGGCGCTAACTTTGCTTCCTTTCGTCATAGCTGTTCCACTTCTACTTCCAGGACTTCGTATTTGATTATCTTCTCCAGATCTTTTTCTCTTCTGCACTTCTCCAGGTAGTGCCCTGTTGTGGCCCAGCAGGAGCCGTTGGAGCTGCAAACAGACTCCGACAGCGAGGGACCCTATGAGTCGG